TATATATATATATATATATATATATATATATATATATAATTTCTACATGGCCTCTGTACAGAACGTTGCACGATCTTGTTTAGAGCTAATATATTAATTTCCTTTTGGTATTCGCATATTTCATAAGTACGTTCTTTCAGTTTTTTTTCTGAGCTTAGAAAATACAATTCCGTTTTTTTAAGTCTTTATGGTAATATAGAAAACTTGTTGCATCGATTTTATTATTATTATGATCATCATTATTATCCGTTTAGTGACTACTAATGACACATAATCATTGACACAAGTATATTCTGCTTTTGTGAAATTTGTTATACGTATTGATAACAATAGGATTATCATCTTGAGAATTTTTACAAGAATGTCAGGGCTGTTGAATAGTATTTGTAACTTTTTTTGTAATTTAACCCTTAATAATTTTCATCGAATTTACTTTTGGTCTGTACATTTCAGTAGCATATGTGATCAATTATTTCCACGCACACAGGGATCAAATTTAACCTAAAGGATAAAAAGAATATCATCTGTCCAGCTTCCTATAAAAAAAAAAATATATATATATATTTAATTTCTCTTACTGGCTTGTATGTCCATGCGTTTGTTTGAATGTTTTATAATAGTTTTCATCTGGTATTTATCAATCTATTTCCTGTTTATTCCATTTCACTTATATAACAGTTTTTCCAAGTTCTTTCTTGACTAGTTTGAAATTTCCCAATTAAGGTAAGTGTTTTAGATTCATTATTCATTCATTTACATTGTCTATACAGGGTGTCTCGCCTGTTAAGATAGATATTTGTAAAGGTGAAAGAGTATGTGATTTTTTTGGTTCTTTTTTTTCGGTTTACTTTTGTCATGATGGATAATATTATGAAAAATTTAAGTTGGATTTCTCCTCCGAAATAATAATAACAATAATAATAATAATAACACTATCGTTATTATTATTATTATTATTATTATTATTATTATTATTACTTTTAGAAAACCGCAGTTAATTCCTTTTTGAATTACTTACTATTTATTACTTTTTAAATTTCTTAAACGTTTTGTATGTCTTTGAAGGGAAACCTTACAGCTGAAAGACACGTATTTCGCTAATAAAGATTATAAAAGGACACTATTGCCCTAATTGGCATGGGATGTAAATGGTAACTAATTATCAATAGTTTCCGTTCCATCAAAGTATATCTGATAATCAAAGTCAACCTCACGCCTCATGTAGTTAGAGAATGCACATGGCTATAGAATATTTACATTTTAGAATATTTACATTTCAGAATCACATCATCTCGCACTTTTACAAATATATGCTTGGGGAACACAGGACACCCATTACTTGTGTTATTATCGTGTCAGTATTCTACAGATATATGCTGAGTAAACACGGGACACCCAGTAATTGTGTTATTAGTGTGTTGGTTAAAAAGCGTAGAACCGGCAAGCATGCATGGACGCCACACATTTTTTTTTTTGTCTACAATACTGACTGGAAACTTTAAGTCATTTAGCCTTGCAAGCAATCAAATTATAAGCCAATCCCAGAACTGTACATTATATACAAATGGAATGAACCTGAAATGTAATTATTTATGATTATTAATCTAGATATAAATATAGAAGCCAATGAGTGGTAGAAAGTCAGAGCGGAGAATTTAGGAACTAGAAGGACAAATTTGGGACAAAGTAAAGGACACCGTTTTAGAGGGGGACCTTATGTACAAGGTGCAAGTATTTTTACACTAATTTACCATCTCCATCTGAAGATCAGAGATCCTTATCTATCTTAACATCGATCAAAATTTCAAGGGAATTTCAGTCCATGCAGGGTGATCCGTCTATTTTGGAAGTGTTGTGTGTTCTGAGAAGGCCCCGCGGACGAACAGGAACTCGGAGTCATGATAATGCTATAATCAAACCATTCGCAATAGAGCCGATGGTGTTATATAAGGGTGATTTTTAACAACAATAATAGGGTTGGTGCGTCTTTGTGAATTTTTCATAGTGTCAAGGTTATGAAAAGAAATCTATTTTACCATTACCAGTAACAATAACCAGTAACAGTAATAATATTGTTTCTATATTGTAGTACCGTATTTCCAGCATGTTTATAGATGTTATTGGTCATCAAGGTTTATTCTTGATGATCAGCTATTAATGTCTAAACTATAATTGATTTTACTCATGACCCAAACCATAAAAGGTTATTCAGCCAAATACCTGGTACGGCATTCTATAAAGCTACAAATCAACACTAATACACTATGCTTTACTGGGATCTGAAAGCAACTTATTTTGGAAAAAATGATGGGCATTTTTTGAGCATACTAGTTCAAGCACTTTAAGGATCTATGTAAACGTTTCGCTCAGGATTACACAAAAAAGAATCAGATGGAAAATAAACGCCGTTTATTCATCTGTCTCTCTATATCAAAATCCTTTTCAAGAATTGCTAATAGGTTTGCTAGCATTGTCTCCTAGTTTCAGTCGCTTCGCTCAG